GGTTGCATCCGAAGAAGTGGGCTGTAGTCCACGAAAGCTTATGCTCTAATAAATTTGTTAGTTAAATTTGTTAGTCTCTAAGGTGCCACAAGTACTCCTATTCTTTTTACCAAAATTCAAGTTCGCCGGGGTGCAACTGTAGCTCGTACTCCTTGGTCTGAGAAGATACACGTGCAACCTTTTTGAGAAACTGCTGTATTTTAAAAAATAAAACAAAACAACAACTTCCTTCTTCCTTCCCTTCCCCTCTTCACCAGTAATTCATTAGTTCTATTTATTTGTTGCCTAAGATTTGAAATTTAACACTGTGCCAACACTGTTTCTTATAGAATCTTACAAAGGACACTTTGGTCCCATTCACTGTGTGAGATTTAGCCCAGATGGAGAGTTGTATGCTAGTGGCTCTGAGGATGGAACGTTAAGACTGTGGCAGACGACAGTAGGGAAAACATACGGTCTTTGGAAATGTGTAGTTCCTGGTAAGAACTTTGTTTGTATTTTTGTAAAACTCAGTTGCATCCGAACTGCCTAGCCCCATGCAGAACAGCTCTCCAGTAATGGGAAGTGTTTGCCAACCCTCCCGCCCCTCTCACCACTAGACAAAGTTTTAAAATAAACTTTTTTTTTTCTCACTTAAAAATAACTGGGGATATTCTATCGGAGTCTGAGGTGAATGGGGATTAGGATTAGCAAAATTATAATAAATGTTTTGTTTTTTTTCACAGAAGAGGAGGGTGGAGAGCTGGCAAAAGCAAGGGTCAGCCTTCCAGGAACAGCAGAAGAGGAGCTAGGTAATGTATTGATAACTATCTACTTCAAATACACCTAACAGTGTCAAAACTAATCCACAGGGATTAATCTGCATAACATTCCCTTTTGTGTTTGTGGATACGGTGTCAACTCTTTACTGATGCTTTTCAAAATTTACAAGATCCCTAAAACTAGTTTCCTGAGACTATGTGGAAATAGCCAAACATTTTTAAAAAAATCAAGAAGCTAATGAGAAAATTATAGACCAGTGAGTAGAACTATGTATAATCTTGTAAACTGTTTTAAAGGGATATGGTGAAATATTTGTGAAAAGTTTAATTTTAAAGATGGTTTCAGGGCCTGCTATGGTGGTTATTTTATTTTCTGTATCTAAGGTGAAGTTTGAAAATAATTTTCCTATTTTAACCACAGAAGACCTTACCTCTGAAAATTCAGATTCCATCTACAGCTCAACTCCTGAAGTTAAGGCTTGACCATCACAGCTGTTATGCAACAAATGGACATAGAGACTAAATCAAGCAAACGGTGATAAGCAGCAGCCTTCCAGAGTGCGCTCTCTACATAAGGCAAAGATGGGCAGTAATTGATGAGAATGTGTTGGAACTGGCTAGGTGGTATCTATAAGAGAACTGAGTATCGAAAAAGACAAGTAGTAGAGTTTTGCTATATTTTAGCGCACCTGCCTACTGTCTTTTTGAATGAAGTGTGCAAGCCAAGATCCAGTCTCTCCAATTTCAATTAAACTTACTGTAGTGTGTTTTCTTTATTATGGAGGAAAAAATGTAATGGCTTTTACCAGTATTTTTTCTGAAAGTTGAAAGATGTGGCTTTAGTTGTAAAGAAGGGATTATGTGCTCAAGTATTTGGTTCGGTTTTTCTGTTTCATTGTACACCGCTTCTGAACATCTGACTGTTTTCAGTTGTCTAAATAAAATGCCTTGACAACAGACTCATATTTTATTGTTGTTAACATTGGGTTCATATTCTTTTTTTTTGTTTTTTTTTGTTTTAGTATTCTGCAAAGAGAAAAAGGGAACGAGCATTTTTTCATATTTAAAGTCTCTGGAATAGTGGGTGACAGGTACCCTGCTTCACAAGTGTTGTATCTTTTATTCTTTAAACTTAGTTAAAATCTCTAAAAGATCAATTTTTGAAACACCTGAAGTATATGCTGCAAAAATATTTTGGTTGTACATCAGAATTGTTTCAGAAGCTGACCATATTCTTTTACAGTGGATTTGTACAGAGCATGCTTTTAGTAATCAGAACTGGCTTACAAAATAGGTTTCTCTTTTCCTTCAGTATAAACCATATTTTTCTTCATTAAAGCCATGTTATTACCATACTTAAATTTGTAATGTCACTTATTTAATATTGTATAACTTTTCATTTGTGTAGTGCATGTGTGGAGCAGCCTGATAGCCACAACTTTCTTCCTTTCTGAGAGGTAATAAAGGCATTATTTATCAAATAATGTGGCTTCAAAAGAAATAGCTTTTGACAAAACAGTCTTCTTGCTGTTATAATCTGCCAAATAAATTCTAAGTGAACCAAAACGTGAATTTCATGGTATGGGGATGAGGATTTTAAAATGTTTTCTGTACTTCTGGTGTTCAGACTTGCAGCCTTTAAAATACCAGAATGGCTCCTTGAAAAGAAATATTGATATTGTAGCTTTATCATACTTGTTAAGATTGAAAGGAAATTTAAAAAGCGACCTCTGTGAGTGCAGTTAAGCATTCAAGTGGATTTATAAAAGTTAAAATAAGTCAAACATAGTATGATTCCTTGTTTTCTTTCCATATTTTAAAGTAGTAGTAACTGTCAAATGTAATTTATAGTAAAACTGTCTGACACTACTTTAAAATAGACTTTACAAAAGTAATACTTCATTGCACCGGAGGACTGGAAATAGACAATGCCAAGATTTTAAACGAATAGTCTAAAATTAGACTCCTAAATCCATATTTAAGCACCTTCCTAATTTTCAGAACAGTTGAGCATCCAATAGTTCATTGGAAGCTACTTAGGTGTTCACCTTTTTTCAAAAATCAGGCAATTGCCTGGTGGCTTCCTCTAGCATCAATTGGAGCTATTGTGTTCTCAACATTTCTGAAAAAATCAGGTACCATTCCAGTTAGTTGGAATTTAGCTTTTCAAACTATCACATCTTGAAGTTTGTGTTGAAAAGTACATAGTTGCTTTTTAATCTAATTTTTAAATTTGGTCTTTACCTAATAGCTTAAAATACTATCCAAATTCTATATGATGTATCAAAATCTTGTAGCCCTGACCCCTGCTCTCTTGCAGTGGCCTATCGAAGTGAGATTTTGCAGTTTCTAGTGCTGGAACGAAGGATGGGTGCCAAAACAGCCAACATAAATAAGCCAATATCTTCAGTCCTAGACACAACCCTAGGAACCTCCCTCTTGCAGTGTCCAGTTATGCCCACTGGATGCTGCAAGCTTTTATGAGTTTGTCAATTTAACAAAGAAATTAATATGTACTAGGTTTTTTTTAATCCCAAGGGAGGTCTCTGACACGCTTTCAACCAAATGTACTGCTTTAGGTAGAATAAACAGACATATTAACTATGGAAGATAGACTATAAGTCAAAACATAAGTCAGATTTGGTCAAATGAAATAAAAGTACAATGCATTCTAAGCTTCTCTTAACACTTTCAGTGCCCTTACAAACTTAGATACTCATCATGGGCTGGCTGATTGTCCTTTAGCTAGACTCTCCCCTTTGATCAGCACATCAGTCGCTTGGGGTGGTGGCTGTAGATGTAGGTGGAAGAGAGAGAGTGAGCCTGGCAAATGTCTCTTCCTTTTATCATGTTCTTTCTTCCCTCTTGGCTTTGCTCCCTGCCCCCTCTTCAGAGTCAGGTGAGCATTACCTCATCGCAGTCCCAAACTGGCCAAAGGAAGGGGGGGTGACTTACTGGAGAGTCCAACAGATCCTTTTGTTGCTGCCAAGGCCAGTGTCCTTTGTTCCTGTGAGACTGGGTTTGTCCCCTACCTGCCCTGATGAGGTGTGAACTATCTCTCTGCTCTTGGAGAGTTTTTGCTTGGGCTTATTTTAAGGCTTGTAACTATGTACATGAAATTATAACCTATACTATAACATTACTGTGACAACAATGCTCAGTGCATCATGAGCCTTCCGGAGACACCTGACATGACAAACTGCATTGGATACCACCCAATTATTTTACAAGGATGAACATGGGGGTGCTGGGTGTTCCCCTGTGGTACAGAGTGCCACATACACAAACTGAAAATAGATTTTATCAGAAAGGGAAACAATTAGCTGTGATTTATTATGAGGAAGAGAAAGCATGTTGCTGAAGCTAGATTTTTTTGCGGGCTGTTTATACTGAAGACTAAAGTTTGGAGAATACCAGGAGCTGGGTTAGCTGTGAGTGATGGCTTATTTTTCTTTTATTCAAGGCTGTAAATAAAGAATGTATTTCATAGCTGTGAAAAGAAAGGCCACACACTATTTTTATGTGCAAAAATTTTGTTATAGCTCTAGTGGTTTAACTAAAACTACCCAAGCCCTATACAGTACCTTTTTCCCCAAAAGAAGTGTAGGATGGTGTTGCCCTTACCAAAACACTTGAACCAATTTAAACAGGCACCAGCCAGCATTCCCTACCAACTGACAACAATTCAGGTTTCAGAGTAGCAGGTGTGTTAGTCTGTATCTGCAAAAAGAACAGGAGTACTTGTGGCACTTTAGAGATTAACAAATTCGTTGAGGGAGCTGGTCCGCATCCCCTGGATGGAGAGTGCGAGGTATAATTGTGCCGGGGCAGTGGCTTATGTCCCCTGAGGCATACACCGCAAAGTATGATTGTGCATGTGGGGAAGATGCAGTGGTTGCTTTGAATGCCGACAGCAGCGCACGAGTGCATAATGGAGGAGGGGAAGGAGCTAACGACGGGCTGTCCCTGCCTGCAGACAGCAATGTAAGGGGGTGGGTTATTACTGGGGAGCGCGAGTTCCCCAGACTCTCCTCCCGAGCAGAAGGGCCTGATTTGAGTTTGGTGGGAAGGCGCAGCTGGCTAGCGCACCAAACCCCTCCCAGCCTGGGTGGGGGAAACGAATGAACAGCCTAGCCCGGGATCCGTGTTTCCTGCCCGCCGCGTGAGGGGAGGAAGCGAAGGGCTCAGCAGGGGCGTACCCAGGAAGTGCCGCACTCAACCCTGCTGCTTTGGCCCGAGGGCAGCGCGGGGCGCGAGCGGGGGGCCTGCTGCTGGTGCTGATCATGTCGGCTAGAAACCCGGGCACAGAGCTGGGTAAGGGACAGCAGCTGATCTTCCCCACTGAGCAGCCTGCACGTGTAATGGAGGGGTGGGGGCGTGCAGCAGACACACGGAGAGAGTCAAGACGTTGTCCAGCGTTCAGGTGCCTAGGGGACTCCTCCCCAGTGGAGGTGAAGCTGTCAACAGGCCACTGGGGCGCTAAGGATCTTACCCTGCCTGAGCCTTCAGGGAAGGGATGTGTGTGCAGAAGTAATGGGACTCCCAAGTTTTGTTGTTGCTGGTAGATCTGTGCCGCCTGGACAGCAGAGAGGGTAGCATGGGCTAGCTGTGACCCAACAACATGACATATGGACCCCTCCAGAACAGTTAGTATCAAGGTGGGAACATGTCAATTTCCACAACACTTTCATCAGGAAGGACAGAGAAAGAGAGGCTCTCTCTAGCTGGGTGGCTAGGGTACTGGGCTGGGGTATGTCTTACACACTCCCAGTTTCACTTCTGTGAAACCGTTTGAAAGTTTTTCTTTTTGTTCCAAAGCTTGAAAGTTGTTGTGCTATGGAATTATCATTTTGGGGTTGTCTCTATCTGTTTGAACTATTACTTGCTAACTTTTTATATGATGAATTATCCTGCTGGTGCACTGTCTGAGAGGAGATCTCAGTTTTAAAGGAGTTTTTGTATTATGTAAAATTGTTGAGTAGCTTTTATGAGCATATTTCAGCCTATGGCATCATTCAAGGTTTTGATGATTAAATATTTGGAATTTGCTCTTTGAACTTAGTGATTAGTCATCTGTGCCACACGGTATTTTTCTGTTTTCACAATGGTTGACCTTACTTTTATGAACTGCTTTCTTCTGAAATGGATTATTTTCTTGGTTAAACAAATGTGGGGTCTTTGCCCACAATTTGCTGTCCATAAACATTTGTGAGAACAAAAGTCCAAGGGTGCAACTGCTCACAAAGCAGTATGAAGAGGCTGATTCCAACCCTGGTTTATAATCCCGGAATGTGTTTATAAAACAGATTTTCACATTATTTCAGTAGTGACCACCCCAAAAGTCAAATATCCTGAGTCAGGGCCCCCAACATCATGAGCTTGGCTTAAAAAATCATAAGCCATAAAAATATGGGTTGTTATTATTTTCCTTGTTCTTTAGCCTTTAGGCTAATCGTGGGTCACATTGTCAAGCTTTTCTCCATAACCATGAGGACTGGAAATATATTTTGTTGTTAAATGAATGCTGTGATTCACTTGTAATCATCTATCTCCAGAACCCGAAGCTTTAAGTAATACCCCAGTAGGGCAAGATTTAGAAAAACATTTCAGGAGTTGTCACCACTGCTGTTCCAAGCAGCTTTAGACAAATGCCAACAGTGCCACAAAAACAAGGTAGGACTCCCTGCCCTGATTGTTTTGTGACTCTAGGGTTCTGACTGAATCAATGTTTTCTCTGTTCCTTTCACCAACCTTATTGGGTGGTGAGAGAATGGGATGTTTTTCTACTCATTGCATCCTCGTGTGAATCGAGGGATTCACCTTTCTCTGTACATTCCTTTTTCTTTCCTGGAGTGAAAGCGATTATTTTCCCCGCCTGGACTGATTCTGAGTTTCCCACAAGATTACTGGTAAAAAAAAATTTTGTTGCCCTCCATTACATTATCTTTAACCAAAAGGACATCTTTTATTTCCATCTCTTTGAAATGTTGCATTTCCTACAAGCAAGCTGCTGAATTACTGTGATCTAGTGCAGCAGCTCTCAACCTTTCCAGACTACTGTACCCCTTTCAGGAGTCTGATTTGTCTTGCGTACCCACAAGTTGCACCTCACTTAAAAACTACTTGCTTACAAAGTCAGACCTAAACATATAAAAGTGTCACAGCATACTATTACTGAAAAATTGCTTGCTTTCTCATTTTTACCACATAATTATAAAATAAATCAGTTGGAATATAAAAATTGTACTTACACTTCAGTGCATAGTATATAAAGCAGTATAAAAAAGTCATTGTCTGTATGGAAATTTTAGTTTGTACTGCATTTGCTAGTGCATTTTATGTAGCCTATTGCAAAACTAGGCAAATATCTAGATGAGTTGATGTACCCTCTGGCAGGGCCGGCAAGTTATATGGGCCCATGGTGCCCGTGCTCCAGGAATATTCAGGGGCATGGCTTCACCAATGTTTGGGGCCAAGTCTCTCCCCCATCCCTGCCTGCCACCTCCACGCGCCTCCTCTGGAGCGTCTCCTGGCCCTGCCTGCTGTCCCCAGGCAATTTAAAAGGGCCCCGGGGCCCCTGGCCACCACCACTGGCAGCACAGTGAGGCTGAGGCGGCTTCCTGCCCACTCTCGCTCTGCACCACTCCCGGAAGCAGCTGGCACATCCCTGCGGCCCTGGGAGGGGGGGGTTGTCTCTGCGTGCTGCCCCTGCCCCAAGTGCTGACTCCACATCTCCCATTGGCAGGGAAATGAGGCCAAAGGCAGCTGCAGGGGCAGTGCCTGCGGGCAGTGGCACGCAGAGATCCCCCCGGCCCCCCTGCCTAGGAGCTGCTGCCAGAGGTCACTTTTGGGAGCTGCCTGAGGTAACCACCGCACCCCTCACCCTCTCTCGCACCCCAATCCCATGCCCTAGCCCAGAGCCCGCACCCAAACTCCCTCCCAGAGCCTTAGGCAGGTGGGGGGGGGGGGACAGGACTTGGACCCATTCTGAGCACCACCAAAAATTATACAAACCTGCTGCCTCTGCCCCCTGGAAGATCTCTGTGTACTCACAGGAGTACGCGTATCCCTGGTTGAGAACCACTGATCTAGTGTATGATCTGGGGTAACTTGAAGTGACAGGAGAATGACTCTTAAGTGTCTCTATCTGAAAGACATCTTTTTGCTGGCATATGTATGATAATATTCAGTGTTTGACTCACACTATCATACTGGAGGGTATGTGCAAACCTTATTCATGCAGATTACATTGTTTTTTTTTTTAAACACTTACTTTAATATTCACATCTTAGGTGATCACTATATATGTGGTTCACTGTGAAGTGTTTATGTAGAATCCTATAATATTACCAGGCAAAGCAGATTGTATCCCTCTCAGTAAATTGTCCTCAAATAGATCCACATATATAATGGAGGTAGTATTGTCAGGTGGATAGGTTATGGGACTAACTCAGGGGCACCTGGTTTTTATTTCTGGCTGAGTTCATGAGTTGCTGCATGACCTTGGCCAAGTCACTTAACCGTTCTATACCTTGGTTTCTACCTTCTACAACAAAACTCCAAAATAATGATTTGTAAAGTACTTTGAAATCTACAGCAGAAAAGCACTACATAAATTTATTATTACCACTCATTCTCTGTAATTCACATTCAAGTATGTTCAAAACATTTCTATAGCAAGTATTCCCTTCTGAAATTAATTGTTTTCCCCTCTCCAAAACAGCTCTCCTCCTTGACTTATTTTGAGTGCAAGATTATAGTATGGAAACCACTGTGGGATCCATCAGGATTAATGGTGCCATTTAAAATGTAAAATAATGTTAGAGGTTTTCCTGCCTGCATATTGGAAGAATGTTTTAAATCCATTTCTTAAAGAATATTAATATTTCAGGTCTTGTTTTTTTTTTTTAGTTAAGTAAACCTTCCTTATGCAGCGACATAGACTGTGTCCCAAATGTTAAGGTGCTTTAGTGTTTGGGAATCAAATCTGAGACACCTAGGGCCAGATTTTCTTCTGTTGGATTTATGGGTGCTCAGCATTTCTAAAAAAACCAGGCCCAAGGTGTTCCAAAATGGGCACAAATAAAATAATAATAATAAAAAAAAATCAAATGCTCTTTTTGAAAACTTTGCAGTGCTGCTGTTTTAAATATTTTTGGATTGCTTAGGTCCTGTATGTATTAATTCTTTAGATGTAAAATAAACTTCAAGCAGAAAGAGTCATTTAAAATAAAGTGCATTGTGTGGACAGAGCATGCAGACAAGCAGCTGAGGACAGCAATGGATTCTCAAGAGGCAGTGATTTAACTGTCAATTACATATTTACACTGGGGAATGCAGAGAATGAATTTGGTCGGATCACCTGAAAGTTTTTCATATCAGAGTCAGAAGCATAAAATAAAGACACTTTGAACATTTACATTTCTGCCATTTTCATGGCTTTGCTATGATGGCAGCTGTCCAAACCTTTTCTCCTAGACCCATGCAACATGGGAGGGCTCAGCAGGTATTCTAAGGGCTTAGCTAGCTTGTGCTAATATCTTTTCAATGGCAGTGCAAAGCATTTGCCTCATGCCTACCTGGCAATGCTTGCTGCACACAATCGTTGGATGGTGATTCAAGTTTTCTAGTAGACACCTAGTGGTCAAATATATTTACAAAGAATTTTAAAAGATTATTCCATTTGATTTCTTCCTTTCTCTTCTGTTCTATGCAAAAACATGTCACTTGTACATCTAAAATGTCTTATAAGGTGCCAGGATTATAGCACGCCTATCTTTTCCATAAATGAAAGTGAGACTGTTGTCCTCAACTCATGCCATATGATATAATCACTCTTTGTTTACTGCAATTTTACATTCCTTATTTTCTGTAAAATAAAGTATAAAAAAAATAATCAATTCCATCTTCTTGCACCCTCCCCCACTGTCCCATAATATCAGAAAAAGAAAGTTACTTGATTAAAACTAAGGGCAGGTGCAGTTAGAACAGATAAAAGGAAATATCACTTCGTACAGAATACAGTCAGCCGGTGAAATTTGCTTGCCACAAGACAGTCACGTACTGAAGGCAGATTCTGAAAAGGGCTAGAGGATTTTACAATCCAACATTTTTAGTTATACATGCTGCCCTCTCCCTTCCCACACTGCTTCCAAAGATGCCCTGACCAGGTGCTTCATCTGTGTGTTTTACCACTTTCCTCTCAAGCACCAGGTATAGACTACTGGAAACAGGATAGTGGATTTGATAGACCATTGGTCTGCTTTGGTGGGGCACAGGCTACGTCTATATCAGATGAATAAAATAGACTTTTG